AAACAAACTTCTGTTGTGTAAGCCCCCAGTTCGTTCTGTTAGGGCAGCCAGGAAACTAATACAGGTACGTACAAGAACAATAGATGCTGGGAGGCTGTGGGCCAGCTACCAGCGGCATCTGCTACAGAGGGCCCGTTCGTTTTACCAGATCTCAAGGGGTGATGACCTCCCAAAGTCAAGAGTCACAGCACAGGGGTTTCATAACTCATGGTGGAGATAGAGAGAGAAAGGTAGTAAGTGTCCATCCCCACAGCTTCTGAGGCTGCTCACTCTGACTCACCTGCCCAGCAGGAAGAGAACCTACTAGAAGGTGGTGTGTGGGGCGGAGGCTGATCTCCCATGAACAACCAAGGGGCTGCAATGTAAGGATATGAACAAATTGGGAAAATAAATTCATAAAGGAAAACCAGAGGGGCCATGAGTCATTTGAGGCTGACCATGTGCTGTGTACTGCAGAGTGATGATGAACTTGATCTCCATACCTGGGGAGAGGAAAATAAAATGAAATAGAACATAGTAAAGCAAAATGATGAAAGAAAGGGGCAGCCTGTCTGGGGGAGGAGGCATCTGGTGAGGCTGTGGGGGGTCTTCCCCCTTCTGCCTTCTTTGGCCGCGGGGGCAGGAGGAGCGTCAGCCAACTGGGCTTCAGGGAAAAGTTCACTTGGGTCTCTTCAGTTTGGGCCACGCTGGGTTCCTTCCTCTGTCTGCCAGCTCTTATTTTGAGAATGATCTATAGCAGTTATTAGCCTCCCAGGTAGAAAGCATTTCTACTTCCTGGAGCTCTCCTGCTCTCGGGGATATTAATCCAGCCACCCTGGCTTCACCGGATTCCAGGGGAGACAATGGATTTCCTGACACTCAAGCGGGAGGAGATCCCTCCCAGGTGAGCGCAGCCAGCCCGCACCTTTGCTTTCCGACCATGAGGGGGCGCCGTGGGCTATGCTGAAGCTGCGTCTGAAGGGCTTGGGAGGCGGGGCTGTTGAGGATGATTTTGTCAGAGGGTTTTCAGGCAGGGTCAGGCCAGGTAAGGAGACGATGCTAAAGGTGGGACGTAATTGGGAACTTAGCTTGCAGCTTGGGCTAGAGGGGGAGAAGATGGAGGTCTGAGCTGGAAGAGCGAGGAAGAGTGCAGAAAGGAAGAGCACGGATTGGATTGGAGGCTGATTCTGGGAGGAGATACTGTGGGAACCCGAGGCGTGACTGGGAGCCCGGAAAATACTGTTCCCGGTGGGTCACCCTGAAAACGCCTGCTCAGGTGGGAAGCAGGGAGCTGCTTTTTCTTTTAACAAGATCAAGGTTCAGAACGTCCCAGTCTCTCTGCAGCCACATGGACTTCGAGTCCCCGAGAACTGGATGTTGGGGAGGTCAGTGGAGGACTGGGATGTATTATGGAAGTAGGACCCACAGGACTTGGTGATGGATTGGGATTGGTGGGTAGGAAAAAGGAGAGGTGAGGAGAACTTCTAGATATCTGGCTTAGAAGAGAAGTGTGGGTGGAAGATACAAATTTGGGAGCTTTCAGCAGATTGATGGTTTTTAATTCCATGGGAACGGAGTGAAAATCCTAGGAGAGGGTGGACACAGAAAATAGAGAAGCATCCACGCATTAGTCAGGAAAGGCAAACTGAGTTACAAAAAATCCTCCACTTCTCAAAGGCTTAATCAAATGAAGGTGTGTTTCTCACTTGCTTCACAGTTGAGTGAGTGTTGGCGACATGAAGGGGAGGGACTCCACCCCACACAGTTAGTCAGGGTTCTGCCACTTTTTAGGCCCTAATGGTCATTTACAGGAGATGAGGGAAGAGGAAGAGTGAGAGTATGAAAGAGTTTTGGGGTTTTAGAGGCCAGGCCTGGAAGTGGCATATATCACCTCTACCTACAGTCCATTGGATGGACTGAGACGTGGGCTCCACCTAGATGCCAGGGGCCTCAGGAATGCGGCCATCCTGTGTGTCTGGGAGTACAATGAACTGGTTTGGTGGGCACAAAGCATCGTCTCTGCCACAGTCCAGGATTGAGCTCTGAGGCGCTCCAACAGTTGGGGTCGGGAAGAGCAAGAGCCATCCAACGAGGCTGAGGCAGGAGGCCTGTGTGTGATGTGACAGCCTGTGGAGGACAGTGCTTCAAGAAGTGACTCAGATCAGAAACTTGGGAATCAGACTTGAGTCTCTTTCCCCCACAGCTCAGACCCAACCCATCGGCAAACTCAGTGCTCATCGGACTCACAGCAGGTCCCATAGGCTTGATCTCCAGAACATATCCTAAATCTGGCTGCTTACCACCCTCTCCACTGCTACCGCACTGGTCCAAGCCCTTCACTGAGACTCGTATCTGGTTTCCCTGTTTCCACTCTTGTGTCACTGTTGTCAGTTCTTCACACAGCAGCCGAAGGGATGTTTTAAAAACCTAAATCAAATCATGTCACCATCTTGGTTAAAACCCACCAGGAGTTGCCATTTGCAATAGAAACTCCTTCCCAAGGCCCACAAAACCCTACATGATGTGGCTTCTGCCTGCCTTTTCAATGTCTTCTCTTATGACTCTGCTCATGTTCATGATGCTCCAGCCCCACTCGTCTTTATTCTGTCTTTCAAACTCCAAGATTGTTCCTGCCCCGGGGACCTGGCGTTTGCTGTGCCCTCTGCTCCAAGTGCTCTTCCTCCAGATAGTCCCATCTTTGATTTCTTCACTTTTCTTTCCCTTTCTTTTCACTTGGGAAGGAACAAAAAAGAGAAGAGGCGATGGGGTGGTCTGGGATTGCTTGTGACATCCTTAGATAGTGGGGATATTGGCTTCACTCAAATGTCTTTCTTGAACTCTTCCCTGACATTTCTATCTGAAAGAAATCTCAGCATGGAAAGAGGATATGCTGGAGTTGGTGATCACGGTAGTGGTCATGGGAGGAACTAAGATTTGGACTGGACCTTGACAGTGGGTCTTGTTTCAATAAGCAGATTTGGGGTAAACTCCATGCAGGAAGGGGCTGTACCTACCTTGTTCTGCCGGGTCTCCAGTGCTTAGTAGAGTAGCAAGCAGAAAATAGATACTCAATATATAACTCTTGAATGAGTTCACCAGTAAATGAGCAAAGGAAATAGAGAGAAAACACTAAATATGTCTGACGAATAATAATGTCTGTTTGGCTGGCACAGCAAGTTCTAGCAGAAACAAGGTGGAAACAGCAGCATTCGGCCAAATTGAAGAGGAGCTTAACAGCGAATGTGTTTAAGTTCTATATCCAGTTGGTGTCTCCTGCCTAATTCAGAGCACCCCATCCCTCCAGTCTAGCTGGTGAACCATTCCCAGAGGAATCCTCCAGAGAGACAAGGTAGTACTAAGGGACTAAGGAATTGTTAAGAAGGATGTAATTTGCAGAGACGAGGCCCTCCTGGGATGGGGCATCCTCAATGTGCACTTGAAGTTGGTCCTGCCTGCAGGAGAATCTGTTGGTGGTCTCTGCTGGGTGGGCAGGAGGTGACCGTGGAAGGACCCACATTTGGTTCTCTGGACCCCCTATCCTCCCTGGTGTGACCAGTCGATGCCCATGGCCTGGCCCCACCCCAGGTCACCTGAGGCCCTTGTGGCCCTTCCCTCTCAGCTGTCTCACACCCAAGTGGTCAGGAACCATCCTCTTACCTCTTCTTGGCAAGCTGTCTTAGGCCTTCACATTTGCTCTGGAATCTGGATCCCTCTGTGAAGTTTCTCTGGGATCTGAGTGGCTCTGTGCCCCTCTCCTCCTCTCCCACACCTGGCCAGGACTGGGTCTTCTGGGGTTTCCTCCCCTTCTCCACCCCTGCCCCACCTCTCCTGTCACAGGCGGGTGGGATCTCACATTCCAGGTTGCCTTAGCCCTGGCCTGTTTATGTGGACTTTGAGTTTCCTCAATGATCTGAAATTTTTCTCCTGTCATGTGCTTTTTCTAACTTGTTCAAAGTGTCATAGTATTTTGAAATATCAATGGCCACATTGACTATTGGATTTTCTTGACTACTTGGATTTTCTTGACTATTTGGATTTTCTTCCCTGCAGCCCTTTTACTGTTTAGACAGCGTTTTTTTTTTTTTTTTTGCCCCTGTGGAGAGGAATGTGGATTTCACATAGACTAAAGAAGCTCTCAGCTTTGATTTTCAAGTTGGATCAAATTAATAATAATAAAAAAAAGTATAGCCTTCAAATTCACGCTATCAAGAAAGATAAGAGTCGGCTCAGAATTCTGAAGGCTGGGAATGATTTCCTTAAGGAGCTCAGCTTGGACGCTTGACTCCGGAGTAATCCGGAGTGGGAGGCTGAGGACGGATGTCCTTGAAGGAAGGTCTTGTCTTGCAGGAAGGAAAAAACAGTCGCAGGCAGGAGAGCTTAATGAAAAGGTCAGGTGTGAGAGTTCTGCTCTGTCTTTGGGGTTTAAATCTCAGTTAAAAAAACACACTCAAATGAAATTGGAGAGAGTCCAAGGACATCAGGTTCCTGCTTCCCTGGGTGTGTGTCCTGGTGAGATGAAGCCTCTCAAATGAGCGGGTGCGTGGTCCCAAGGCCAGATGGTGTGGGAAGGGTGGAGTAGCTGGAGTGGAGGGCAATGTCCCACAGGGAGCGAGGGAGTGTTGGGGAAACCAAGGTACAGAAGAGGCTTGGGTTTGTGTTAAAGAGGCTACAACCTCACAACCAGAGGGGACATCAGCAGCAGACTCCTGAGCAACGCCCAATGGCCCAGGTGGCCCCTGCCACGTGATGGTGGATGTTCCGGGCCAAGATGCTCAGTAAACATTGCTTCAAGTGGATACCAAGAATTTCAGATGAATCAAATACTTAGGGGGACAGGACGAATGATAAAATCTACTCACATTTCTACAGCATATCACAGTTTAAAAATACCTTTCTCTACTGTGTGCTAAGCAGTGATTATTGTTGATTTGATTTTACAGGTTAGATAATGGGGTTTTGCTAGGCAGTTTGGCATTCAAGTCTTCCATCTCCGGATCCACTGCCTGCCCCCTGGCACTGTTCCCTGGGCCGCGCTGATGACGCTGACAGTGATTTCTAGAGTTTAGTCTCTTGTGTCCCGCAGAAAGGGTGACTACTGGGGTCGCGTCCCCAAGTCACCTTCGGCCTTCGCTTCCTGCCTCTTGCCCCACAGCATGGTGAGGGGCTGGGCCAGGCTGCTGTGCTCCACGTGGCAGGAGTAGGGGCCTTTGTCCTGAGGGGGGACTCCCACCACCACCCACGTCTGGTAAGTGCCGATTCCACTGGGAAGAACGTCTCCCCCTGACTCAGTCTCCCGCGCATCGCCAGCCCGGGTCCAGCGCAGGCCAATTCCTCGTGGGTAGAAGTCATAGGCCAGGCACTTGAGCGTCCAGTTTTTTCCTGGGGCTACGTGGCTGGTGACTGACACAGAGGGAGGATCTGTGGGGGGGTAGAGCGTGGATATTGAGGGCCTGAAGTAGAGGTCTCCCTGCCCATGTCTCCCCCACCCCGGGTGTCAGTCTGCCTCTCCAGGGAAACTTGCAAATATCCTTGCCCTGAGCCTTCCCTGTTGGAGCATGGAATGCCTGTGGCTGCTTTTTTGCCCCTGCCCCTCCACCGAGTATCGACTTCTGATGGCGAGAAATTGTGAAAGCCCACATATAATTTTTAATTTTTTCCCAAACCTTTAGTGGGCTTTGTGGCTCCCTCCACCCCAAATCTCAGCCCCGCCCCTTAGTTCTGCTGCCGCTCTGTCCATCAGACCCTTCCCTGCTCTGTCCCACAAGACCCTCTTTCTCATTACTTCTCAAACCAAAGTCTCAGCTTGTGACAATCAGTCCTGTCACACTTGCTCATTTTCATCCTTCCAGGACAGACATTTCACACACCTGCCTCCTCTCCACAGCCAAGCCAGGAGGCATCAACCTAGAGAGAAACCACCGTGGGATTTGCCTGAGATGTTCCCCTGAGCTCCCAGCTCAGTGCGGGGGAGCAGGACCCAGGAAGCAGTGGGTACCTTGTCGGTCCAGGTGGCTCCTGCTGTATGGCAGGTACCTCTGCAGCATCCCTGGGCACTCCTCTTCCAGGTAGGCCTTGGCCCGCTGCACATAGACTTCTTCTGCCTCCCACTTCTGCTTGGTGTTCTGAGCTGCCGGGTCCAGGGGGACCCAGGCTGGGATTTCTTTGTGGAACTTGATGAAGTCCTGTCCATCATAGGCGTACCTCCAGAAGGCTCCGCTGCTTTTGTTATTCCGGAGCTCACAACCAAACAGCCCCTGCAAGGTGTGAGAGCCTGCACCCCCAGCCCCCCGGCAGCCAGTCAGCCTGGCATCAACCCGATCTCGGTAACTCTTACTCCTACACAGTGTGCAACCCAATAGGAAGAAAGGTTGTGGAAATCTAAGCATCCCATCCATTTATCTTGGCAAATGGGTTACTGCCAGACATACAGCAGACAGAGAGAGGGAAATTTGGTTTGGTTTGGTATTTTAGGCTAGTCTGAGATGAGATACATTCCTTCCAGCCAGGGAATTTCAGAGAGCTACAGACTATGGACAGACTTGCCAGCCCCTCTGCACCATCTCATGTAATGAGCTTTGTCTGAACATGTTGCAACTCCTTAGGAACCTCACACAACCACACTGAAGTGCGTTTCCAAGTTCAATAGAAATTATTTATAGTTTTATACAGATTACAAAATCTCTCCTTTGTTCTCACTTGTAAGTGGAGGTGATGTTATCACTTGAGCAAACATAACTTGAGCACTTGTTCCCTCTTTTCTGGTGTTTGATATCTTCAACACAAATCTCTAAAGCCCTGCCTCTTTTCCCTATTAGCAACAGCTCTTGGAAATTGGCCACCTTAGGGAAGGGGAACATGATGTCTCCATTTTGATTATAAAAGTAGGTGTTCACTGGATACTGACTATTGCTATTGGCACAGGCTCTGATCTCAAGCTGTCTGACTCAAATCCCGGGTCTCTCCCCACCTCTGCTTATTGCATGAACTTGAGCCACTAACCTCTCTGTGCTTCAATTTTCTCATCTCTGATATGGCACTGGCAATAGTACTATTTTAGAGGGTTATAGTGAGCACTGCCCGTATTAATACATGTTCCCAGCACATAGTAATTGCTCAATAAATGTGAGCTATTATTATTTTCTAATACCCTGTGTTCGTCTCTTTATCCTCTTTACTTTTAATTACTCTCTTCAACATTTCTATTCCAGCCAATCACAATGTCTCCCAGTGTCCTTCCCGGCAGCCGGCTCTGCTATTTCTGACACACAGACCAGGGCATTTTCCTCACCAGGGCTTCTCATTCCACATCCTTCAGAGTTCTGCATAACTCTTGCCTCCTTTTGGAAACTTTCCGATTCCATGTAGCTTCTTGGGCATTTTTGTACTCAGAAACCCATCTTTCGACACCCACCCTAGAAGGCGGGCAGTTGCATTCAGGAGAAAGAGTGCTGGGCTGGGAGACACGAGAACTAGTCTCTGTGCTCTACTCTGACCGACTCCTCAAACCATAGTCCAGGTGACCCCTCTCGAGTTTGCTCCTGATGGACAGAGGGTCTTTAGGATTCCATGTAACTCTAACCGTCCGTGGTCCTGAATTCAGTCCTTACTGAGCTCTCTGTATGGGCCCTGGTTTGTGCTAGGTACTTCCTCTCAACCAATCAGCAAATTTCATGTGAGCGAGTATTATTGGCTGTCCTAGGTGATGGGGCTACAGGGGAGATTAAGACAGACTATGTTCTAGCCTTCATGGAATTTTCATGAACAAGTTTTATGAAATGTCTTGAAGGCAGGTCTCAATGCTCCAGTTTTTGCAGATTCAGACCAGATAACTAAGAAACACGTTCACTGTGAAACAGCTAGTGACTGGCAGGGCCACTGCATAAACCCAGGTCAGACTGACCCCAAGGCTGGCTCACCCTCCACCCAACATCCCTGGGCAGGGGTGAGTCTGACACCTTCTAAAATGCGGTGAGCCTCAGACAGGTGGGGGTGTGGAGCTGAGACGTCGGATGTGCCTGGGTAAGAGCTGACTTTGCCATCACCTCCTGTTGGAGTTGAGGCCTGGGAGTGAGGGTGGGGGACGTGATGGGGAGGAGGAAAGCAGATGTGTTGTGGGATGGGGGGAAGGCAGAAATGTCTGTGTGTTTCTGCTTGTGCTTCCCGTTCCTCCTTTGGGATGGGGATTATTTCTATCCTGCTGACCCCTTTCCACTCACAATTGTGGGGCTGCCTTTTGAGCTAAGACCCTCCACCCCAGCGGTCTGTAGTTCACTAACCTTCTCTGTCCTTGTAATAGTCCATGATGTCTTTCAGGGTCACCATGAAGATGTCCTCCCTGGCCTTCTGAAGTTCACTCTCCTTCTCCCAGTCCTCCATTCCTTCCACGTGGCTCCACGGGCCCAGGGGCTCAGCCTTCCTGCCCTCACTATCATAGCGGAAGAAGGGCTGGTCATTGAGGTAGGCAATGGCCTGGAAGCTGTGGAAGCCCTCACTGGGCCTGGACAGACCCGTGTAGAGGAAGCTCAGAGAGTAAGGCCCTGCAAAAGAGAAGACTTTGAGGTGTGGGGTGCACGAAGGGGAGTCCCAATGTGGGACAGCAGAGGACCAGGAGGGGAGACCTGGTTATTGGGCCTCTTCCTCCCCAGCTCTCTCCACCCTGATGTCAGCCTCACACCACTGGAGTCTCACTCGAGTGAAAGGGCTCTACTTCTTTTCTGGGGATGATATTTCAGAGACCCGTCTGTGTCTTCACTACGTTGTTTCCTCTTCTTGGCACATAAAAAAATAGTATTTTTCAGCCTCTTTGTAGGTATGTTGGGACCATGTGACTGAATTCTGTCAAAAGGGAAGTGATGTCTTTCTTCTGGTCTGAGGCCCTGTGAGCTAATTTGCCCCATCTGTCTCTCTTCCCTTTAGGTGATGAGTGTGGAGGCCACAGGATGAAACAGAAGAATCTCAAGATGCAAACAGCCTGGATCCCTGAGTCACCCCATGGAGGAAAGGAAAGTTTCCTGATCTGTAGTCAATTTTACATGAGCAAGAAGTAAACATTTGTTGGGTTAAGCCACTAAAAACTTTATTACTGGAGCATAGCCTAGCCGAACCTGAGAAATATATATAGTTAGAAAGTGCAGAAAGGAGAATTTACTAGAAGACTCAGGAAATGACCTAGAATGGATCAGCACAGGGTAAGACCAGGATGTATCTCAGAATTCCCAGGGCTGTACCTTGCATTTTGGTAGGAGGCAGGGACTGAGAGAGGGGGACATTTCCATAATTAATTCATGATATAACTTACCTGGTTGTTAATAATGTTAGAGGTCATATGGCAGATTCCTAGTTCAAGTACTGAAATTATTCTTGCTAATTAGTTTCTAAGTGTGATTAACATTTAACTCAGTAGAATTCAAGTAAAGCAGATTACCCTCCATAATGTGGGTGGGTCTCATCCAGTCAGTTGAAGGCCACAAGAGAAAAGACTGATGTCCCCCAGAGAAGGAATTCTGCCTCCAGACTGCCTTCAGACTCAAGACTGCAACATCAGCTCTTCTCTGGGTCTCCAGCCTTCTGGCCTACAGATTTGGGACTTGCCAGCCCCCACAATTGTGTGGGCCAATTCCTTAAAATAAATCTCTCTTTTTCTCTGTATATACATCTTATTAGTTCTGTTTCTCTGAAGAACCTCAACTAAAACAAATTTTGCTGTAGGAGGTGATAACATTCTACATGTGATTAATTGTTGTAAAACTAACATAAAACACATAATCTGACAGTTTGTAGATGTAATGTATTTTAAACTGGCACAGTTGGCCTACATTTCTTCATCTCAAAATTTTGTATGCCAACAAACAGCCTCATTTCCCTGTCCTAGAACCGACTCTGGTTCTTCCCAAGCTCCAGCTGGCTCCTTTCCCAGTCACTTGCCTTCCAGGCCCACTGCAGTAGTGTCTGACTGTGGGGTGAGGGAACGGGTTTCCTTCTAGAACTTTCCCTCTAGTTAACCTGCCTTCTCATCTGCCCCTTGGGGTTGCTCCCTCTTTCCCTGGGAGTCAGACAGGTACATCCAGCCATTGGAAGGAGGGGAGGAACCAGAGATTCTACCTGTGTGGCTCCTGCTCTGTCCTGGCTGCATGACCCTGAGCAGATCACTTCTCTCTGGGTCTGAGTTTTGTTCATCTGTAAACTAAGAGTTTTAGATTCTGATTCTTTAAGGTCTTATTTAGCATGAGTCCAGAGGCTCCCTGAATGATTCTAGAAGGGTGTGAGCTGAGTTAGCTGACAGCCTTGGATACCCACTCCCACAGTACACGTGGGAATCCCAGCTGGATCCGGGGCCATTCTCCCAGCCCACCTATCCCGTTCATTACCTCCCCTCCATTCTTCTCCATAGCCACTCCTGGCTTCTCCACTCACCGGTGTGGGTCTCCCGGGGGACAGCAGGACCCAGAAGGAGCAGCAGGAACAGCAGGACAGGCACCATTGTGCTTGTAGTGCCTGACTGGAAGGTTCTGGGCTTCCCTGGGCCTGGAGGTCGGAGCAAACTGCTCGGAGAGCAAGCCAGGTGTAGTTATGGGAATGGCTGAACTTTGAGCCCAGCCCAAGGGAGGTGAATCCACAAACCAATGAGAATGCCAAGATGGGCTCCTCCCCTGACAGTGAGAGAAAAGGATGCACCAGCCAGGCTGGGCAGAGGCTGTGCTCAGTGAGTCTATGGATGCTCTCCAAATTGAGAGCTGAGACAGCTGATCCAGGGACTGGGACTCTGTGTATTCCCCAGGTGAAAGAATGCCAGTGGGCTGGGGTGTGTGTGGTAAGTGGCAGATGCCTGGGATGTGTGTCACCTTTCCAGTGTATTGTGACATCCCCACCCTGGGGTCAGTAGGTGGACTTGAGTGTTGTCAGACCAGGCTTCACCCCTCCCCTCTGGAAGAGCTCTCAGCATGTCCAAGGCCTGGGCCTGGGTAGACCCCACCTAGGGTGTGACCCTCACTCTCCTACACCCCACCCCACCAGAGTTCTGCCTGGAGGACATGCTCACGTCTGCCTCCCTCTCTTCCTATGCTTGGGGAATCAAGGCCTTGCCATCACGGAAGCAGAAACAGCCAGGTTCCCCTTTTGGCAGCCTCTCTTGCAATGGAACAGGCGTGCACGGCTTTCAGTCAAGCAGGTGCTGCTGCCCTGGACACAGGGTCACGTGCCAGCGAAGCAAAGAGGCAGGCACAGCGGACAACACTTTCCGGCTGTCTCAGCAACTCCTGGGCGCAGCGGGGCAGCAGTAGCCATGGGGGGGTGGGTGTCCAGCATCCACTGGGTGGTGTCATCTGTCCACGTGGTGGCATCTGGCGCCCCTGTTGACAACAGCGTGTGTTTACACAGCTAGTTTCCTCTCGTGATTTTGCTTGTGCTTCTCCTGCCACTCCATTGATTCTGAGAGTTAACTGATAAATACGTTTATTTTCTGCTTAAAGTCAGAATTGGATTCTGTTTCTAGCAATTAATGATTCTGACGGATACCAAAATTGGTACAAAGATTGTTTTCAGGCAACAGCTGCTCAGGGGAATGGAGGGCGGGAAACTGGGCCTGCTTATGGGGCCAGATTGGGGCTGAAGGCAGCGGAAATACAGTTGTCTTGGGGACATTCTTGCCATGGAATGCAGTGGAGGGTAAAACAGCTGACTGAGTTATCTCCTGTGGTTGACTGGAATGAAGTGCTCATTGAAGACAAAATTTTAGGTCCCAATACCATTTCACAGCATGAAAGACTTGAGGAATTCAAGGAGAAAGTCTGGGAAGATTGCGTCCAAAAGGGCTGAAAAGCTTAACGAAAAAGAGAATAAACTCAAAAGCAAAAATTTTTGCCTCAAAGCACAGTCTGAAAATCAGGCAATTTCTATGATACTGCGGAAAGAATCTTTTGTCTTCTGCAGTTATAAGGATGAAACAGACAAAAACCTAATAATGCCTGATGATGAAAACCTAACAACAAAAAATTGTTTCATAACTTAATTGCAAAAACCTAATAAATCTAATACCCGAGAGTGATCAAGACATTCCTACCAATCTTGTATGGTTGGTACTGACGGTGAGTGCCAATGAGAGCTTCATCCGAGAAGGAACCCAAATCCGGAATGGCGTCAGGAATGGCTTCACGAGAGATGTGGTGGGCAGGACATGGGACAGGGATGGACTTTCTGTTGGCAGGTGGGGGCAAATTTCATAAGGACAGGGATGGTGTCCATCACGTCCATCTTTCTGTCCCTAGTTTTTAGCCCAGTGCCTGGGAGAAAGAAGACAATCGAAAAACACAAAAATAGATCAATGGGTAAATAAGCAAAGACAAAAAGAGTTGGCACCAGACCTATTGGAGGGTCATTGAGGACAATTTGGTGGAAACAGAGTTCATGAAGAAGATGGAGGGATTGGGCAGGTGGGGTGAGAAATTCAAACGGGAGGTTGGAGCCAGGTTCTGGAGGTCCCCAATCCAGTGAGTGCCCGATGTCAACCAGTGAATGAGGCACCTTCACTTGTTGTGTCTTTTCCCTCACAGCCTGCCTTCTCTGCATACCCCATCCCTCTAGGTCAGTAGTTCTTTTTTTTTTTGTCTTTGTTTCTATTAAAGATCTAGCCTCACATTGTAGATGATTAGTTTGCTTGGAAAGATGATCCTGGGAAATATTACAAACTCCTTTCATGTAAAAGATAAGAAACATGACATATTAGGTCAGCCTCTATTTGAAATCAGATCTTTTTTTTTTTTTTGTGAGGAAGATCGGCCCTGAGCCAACATCTGCCAATCCTCCTCTTTTTTTGCTGCGGAAGACTGGCCCTGGGCTAACATCCATGCCCATCTTCCTCTACTTTATATGGGACGCCACCACAGTGTGGCTTGACAAGCGGTGCGTCGGTGTGCGCCTGGGATCCGAACCGGCGAACCCCGGGCCGCCGCAGTGGAGCGTGTGCACTTAACCACTTGCGCCACTGGGCTGGCCCCTTGAATTTAGATCTTGAAAAGCAAATTAGCTAGAAACATTGACTTTGATGAACAGATATTGAGGCTAACGTTATGTGCTTCTAGAATTTGATATATGCATAAGAAGAGTAAATTGAAATTTTGTCTTCCCATCAGTAAAGCTACACATCTAATCTCTAATCCTAGATGTATTAAAAGAGTCTCAAAGGTTGACCAAATATACACTTTTATAGGTCAGCAGTTCTTAACCTTTTGCCCCATTTACTCTCTTGCCAGTTACTCTTAAGATAATTTTTAATGCATAAAACACAACATATAGGATACAGAGGAAGCCAGTTACATGGAAATGCAGGTCTTTCCAGGCAGCCTTGGGGCCTGATGGGCTGTTTGCAGAGGGGTCCCCCAGGTGCAGAACAACATGCTGTTCTAACGTGACTGAGGAATTGTTAAGAAGGACATAATTTGTGGAGACGAGGCCCTCCTGGGATGGTGCATCTTCAAGTTGCACTTGAAGTCAGTCCTGCCTGCAGGAGAATCTGTTGGTGGTCTCTGCTGGGTGGGCAGGAGGTGACCGTGGAAGGACCCACATTTGGTTCTCTGGACCCCCTGTCCTCCCTGGTGTGACCAGTCGATGCCCATGGCCTGGCCCCACCCCAGGTCACCTGAGGCCCTTGTGGCCCTTCCCTCTCAGCTGTCTCACACCCAAGTGGTCAGGAACCATCCTCTTACCTCTTCTTGGCAAGCTGTCTTAGGCCTTCACATTTGCTCTGGAATCTGGATCCCTCTGTGAAGTTTCTCTGGGATCTGAGTGGCTCTGTGCCCCTCTCCTCCTCTCCCACACCTGGCCAGGACTGGGTCTTCTGGGGTTTCCTCCCCTTCTCCACCCCTGCCCCACCTCTCCTGTCACAGGCGGGGGGGATCTCACATTCCAGGTTGCCTTAGCCCTGGCCTGTTCACGTGGACTTTGAGTTCCTCATTGATCTGAAATTTTTCTCCTGTCACATGTTTTCTTTATTTGGTCAAAGGATCAGAAGTTGCTTTGAAATATCAATGGCTGGGTTACTTCCTTCTGAGTTATTTTGTTTTTCTTCCATGACTAAATATCAAAGACAGCATTTCCACATATTGCCCACTCAACATGGTGTAAGAAAGAAATACTAATGTGAGAGAGAACTAAAGGACCATGGAGCTTATCCAGGCCAGTTTTTCCTGGTGAGCTTGGGACAAGGACGAAACCCAAACTTAGGGTCCTTCCTTGAGCCTCAAGAGTGGGCTGGCAGGCCAGTCTGGTGGCGCAAGCGGTTAAATGCGTGTGCTCCGCTGCGGCAGCCCGGGGTTCGCCGGTTCCGATCCTGGGTGCGCACCCAACTCACTGCTTGTCAAGCCATGCTGTGGTGGCGTTCCATATACAGTGGAGGAAGATGGGCATGGATGTTAGCCCAGGGCCAGTCTTCCTCAGCAAAAAACGAAGAGGATTGGCAGATCTTAGCACAGGGCTGATCTCCTCACACACACAAAAAAATAAAACAAAAAAAAAAACAGTGGGCTGGCAATGTCCTTCCCTGTCCCCATCCTTGTCCTGAACCTGGAGCTTTTGAGAGTACTTTTAGTGGGTTAAGAAGGATTCTGAGGAACACCATTCCACACCTCTAAGCCCTCCTCTTTCTCTTCCACTGGGTCATCTATCCACTTACGTCCCCGCTCCTCAAGGTTCCTTGGCCCTTCTCTTGCTCAATGCTGGTGAGTAGAACACAAGATGAAGAGAAAAATTAGTCCAGGTAGTAGGCGATCCCTCAGAGCATCTCAGGACCCTCCTCCTCCAGGTAGGCCTGAGCCACTTCACTGAGACACCCTCTGCTTTCCACTTCTGATTGGTATCCGGGGCTGCAGAGTCCACGGGGACTCAGGCTGGGATTTCTTTGTTGAATCTGATGAATCTGTCCGCTGTAGGTGCACCTCCACGGTGCTGTCCTGCTTTGTTTGTGTTTTCACTCCAGAGCTCTCAACATTCCCTGGAAGGTGCGAGGCCCTGAAGGTGTGGCCTCCCAGACCCCACACACAGTCAGTTGGTCTGGCTTCAAGCCCTGCTTTGTTCACGGCATCGTCTCCATCCCTGTTTTTTAAGTTTTAATGTTTCATATTTATTACGTATTTTATCCTGTAAAGCTATAAAAGCAGTTGAGACTTGAGTCAAATGTTTTGTTTTAAATGAACTTCCACACTTTTACTTCCGATTACATACTTTTTCTGCAGTTCCTTCCATTTTCTGTTAATCATTTTCCAGTGAAAATTCTTTGCTTAAGACAATATGTATTTTTTCAATGCCTGGTTTATGCAAAGGAATATGGTTTCCAAAATATTTTTTCTTTATTTTTCACGCAATGATTTCCATATCTTTTAGCTGGGTGTTTTGGAGATATTTACTTCTGTCTCTAAACAAAATGCTTTCTTGATGTTTCGGTGTTAGGCATGACAAATCAATGTCTGGGAGATGCTGACTTATCTTCTGTCCTTTCCCAGCCTCCACTACACATGCCCATTTCCCGTCATCCATCCTCCTAATATAAATATGATAGCTGAGAATTTTGGTTAGATCTGTAT